AAATTTATAAAATTTAAACATGCAACTTATATAATATGAATGACATTAATTCAAAATCTAACGTAAATGGAAAAAAAAAAAAAAAAAAAAGAACAAAAAAAAAAGGGAAAGAGGAAGTGGAGGGTGACGTGGAGGGTATAGTTAAGTACACGTAAGCATCTTTTACACGTTGGCATATTCATGTCAACTGTTTTAATTAACTTAATGTGCCACGTGAACAAAAATTAACGGAAGGACCAAAAAAGGCTCAGATTTGTGAACAGTAAGAACAAAAAAAGAAATTTTTTCAATACAAAGACTAAAAAAGGATTTTTTCAATACAAAGACCAAAAAAGGATTTTTTCCTATAGTAGAGGGACCGAAAAAGATATTTAACCAAATCTTTATAATAATAATAATAATAATAATAATAATAATAATAATAATAATAATAATAATAATAATAATAATAATAATCCCTCATATTACACTTATAAATTGGATTCTTTCTATTACAAACACTTGTCTAGCATTATAACACTTTCGAAGTTGTTATGAAGGGTCAATCCCAGGAAACCGTGTGTTCCTATGGAGAAAGAGATCAAAATTCACTTGCCAGTCATTCCATTAAGAAATTGGAGTGATTTCATGATTCTGATGACTTTATTATTTCTTCTCGAACCCCACAAATTGATTGGATTTTACCATCGACAAGATTTATTAGTTGGCGGAGTTGGTTTTGCTTTCTTTAAATCATTAGGCCTTTTGACTTTACCGGTTACTGGTTAACAAACATACTAGAACTAGAAAGAATCTTAACAGTTAAGTTCCTTCGATTCAATGAACTTAATTTTTTGGGAAGAAAGGAAGTGAAGTGTATATATAATCTTATTATATTATAAAAATTATTAAAATCTTTAATAAATTTCAAATAAATACTTAATTGGGCTTTTAAGATTTTTAATAAATCCTCTTAAAACACTTATAAAATTCTAAATAAATACTTAAAAGGCCCCTATTAAGTCCAATTACATTCTAATTTTTCCATTTCAAAATAATTGTTATTTTTTAACTTTTTCTTCAAATTAAGGATTTGGAGCAAGGTAGTTTGTACCGTATCGTACCGGTTGATACGGCCGGTACGTACCGGTTTTAGAGGTTAACCGAAACG